TATATATATGTACATATGCATATACAAACATACATGCATGCATACACACATACATACATGCATGCATGCCTACATACATACATACATACATACATACATACATACATACATACATCCACCCACACATACATACATACATCCATACATCCATACATCCATCCATCCTTCCATACATACATACATACATACATACATACATGCGTACATACACACATACATACACACGTACATACACACATATATACACACATACATGTACATACACACATACAAAAACATACATGCATGCATGCATGCATGCATGCATGCATACATGCATACATGCGTACATACATACATACATGTGTACATACGTACATGCGTACATACGTAAATACGTGCATGCGCACGCACACATGCATGCATACAGACACACATATGTAGATACCAATGCATACACAGATATATTATATGTATATATATACATCACATGTACTTCGTATTGAGTTCCAGTGACTCGACTTCGGTACAAGCTCAAGCCGTCGACTCTGTTCATGAACATCCGTAGAGCATGCAGACGGTTTCGGATAGCGGGCTTGCGGCATTTGTTTCGATGCCTTCCGGGACCAGACACCACGAAGTGACCCTTTTCCTTGGCCCATGTCGGCGCTCGAATGCCATCAGTCTCATAGATTCTTTCGCATGCCGTCTGCTTCAGGTGGATGCCCGGCAGGAGCTGGAGAAGGTCAGGGCAGGGAATCAGAGAGAACCTGATCCAAAAAGCAACCGCTTGACCCGCGCCCTCACAGGAGCGACATGTGGTCAAGCAACTGCAAGCCGAGCTAGAGGACATGATTTCAGGGCAATTGGTGTTTTTCAGTCTGAACAAGGCTAGCGTCGGGAGGAAGGCGGGCTGCTCACGCATGAGCGAGAGTTGTATAACCGGGCTGTTGACAGCTGCAGTACAGTAGCAGGAGAAGGAACGAACCGTTGCCGAGCTCCTTTTCGACCTCCGACGAGCCAGGAACGCTTCCGGCAGTGGCCCCAGGGCAGACACAGCACCGGCCGCAAGAAGCGTCGCGCCATGCTGGAATAGTTTGCTATTGTTCACAGGAATTTGGAAATCCGTTGGCGGCTGGACCTGCAAGGCTAATGAGTGATCGGAAAGGCAGCCGTCACACCTGGGAAAGCATTGCCCGGCTACTCCTAGTCATAATGGTCCGATACCATCTTCAACCCAGATATCCATGGAGCTCTGTTTTTGCTCCGGAAATGGACGTGCTGCTCATCATTGGCTGAGGCGAAGGAGACTGGGCCCAGCGGGAAGAGGAACCTTGAGCCGAAAGCATGTCAAGTGTGTTGCACTGCTGATTCGCACATTGTCGGGCACATGCGGTCCGGAAGAATGCAAGCTTCCGAGCAGCGTGGTGTCCTGAATCGCACAGTGCTAGGAGTACATGCGGCTGGACCTGCAGTTGCGCAAGTCTGGGTCCCGAGACCACTTCTTCATTACGCAGCAACGATTGCGGGACGCCGCAAACCGCCAAATCCAGCGAGGCTCGAAGGAGAGTTGGCTTCCTCCCGTCGTGCAGAGCGTGACATGGCAGACAGGTGCGCCGGAGGTCCTTGGTTGTCATGTCCATATCGAGGGCCGGAGGGCGTTGAGCTTCAAAGCTGTTCTTGGAGGTTGCTTCAAGCCGAGCACGTGGCGATGGAGTTGCGCTTCGACCGTGAGCAGGTGGAAACGTATTTGGAGGGGCAAGCTTGATGGGTGCGCGACAAAGGTTCACCTCCGCAGCTCTAGGCTGGAAAGTCGGGTCGTGCACTGAGCTTTTGGCAATCCCATGAGGCTTTCGTTGAATCAAGAGGTATTTGTTTGCACTGGTGGTAGAAGATCAAGAACCGTGGTGAGGCTTTCTGACACGAGAAGAAACATCGTTCCATCGTCTGCAATCAGTTCGCATGCAATCCGTGCTGCAGTTCTCAGATACTGGAGTTGGAACTGCTCAACGGCGGGGACTCGCCAAGGAGCACTTGTTTTGTCAGGGGTTGGAGGGCAGCGGAGTCGAGCACTTTACCTTTAAGTTATCAGGATTCTATCCCTGCCCCTGAAACAGGCAGCGACAGTCTCCGCTCAAGACCGGTGCAGGTGCAGGGCCCTCAGCTAGTGGAGGAAAGCTTGTGGGCTTATCGATGGGCTCAAGTGACCGCAAGGCAGCAGCGGCCAACCTCCAGAGCCGAAAGGACCGTGGTCGGATTCACTGGGCTTCCCACTTTTTCGCACTGCATCCCTAGGAGCGCAATCTGGAAAATGTGATCGAAGGGCTTGAGTGCAGCTGCCACAAGTTGCAACAGCTGCGCTTGCTGCCTGTCCGTTCCGTGTGGCGGCGTGACAAGTAAACTGAATGGAAAGACCTGCGGCCCTTCCAGCTGAAAGAAGAAAGATTTTGTGTGGTAGTTGCGACATGCCCACACCCAAGAGCAAGGGAGTCGCATTTGCATATTTGTCGTTTGTATGTTTATCTCTCTAGCCGGTCTATGTACAGCACCTGCGAAGCCATTGCCAGGCGTGTAGTGAATCAGCAGAAGGCGGAGAATCAGCGGTTGAAGGTCGCGCTCGACAGGCCATATGCTGCCTCATTGATCGGGCTTGCGTATCCTTCTAATGCAGGGCTTGTATTGGAAGGGATGCAGCCATCCGGATTTGCGCACGGTCAAAGCACGTCGGAGCCTCTCTGGTAGGCGCCCCGACGACCGCCGGGGGCGTGGCCGTGCAGAAGTGGAGCGTTTGAGAAAGCGGATAGAGGACACGCGAAGCGGGATAGAGTGTCTGCCTCTTCTTCCAGAGCCGGTGTCAACTGATTTGTGTTTTGAGAGGTAATGCCCGCGAAGCAAATCCAGTCTTCATTTCGCCAAACCTAAGCTACGTCTGTCCGTTTGCTGGACAAGCTTGAGAGGTGAGAGTGAAATGTGTTGCAAAGGAGGCTCAACAACTGGAAAGGGCTTCACCCTTTTCCTGCATCGCCTCTGCAGCTGCTCGTGTCTTTGAGCCTGAGGAGCTGGAATCAGCCCCTCCGCGCACACAGGCCGGCATGTGACTGGATTGGGCTGTTCCGTACTAGCAGGCACTCCGGGCTCCCGGATCGCATCCTCAGACATCTCTACATACCCTAACACACTCAGAGCGTTGGTGTTGCCCTGCTAATTCTCTTTCTCCGTGCTTTCAGCGGACATACGATGTAGCTGCCCGAGTTTTGCCGGGGTGCCACGGCCCAGGACAGCGGCAACATGTCGGCCGAAGGCGAGCGGCATTTCCGTGAGTGCTTGTCGAAGCACGGGAGAGTCCAAGAGGTCCCGTGCTGGAAGCCTACAGACGAGAAGTTGCCGCGAAGGCACGTGGCCGTGACCAGCAACAACAGCCCTTGCACTACAAAGATGCTATAGATCAACTATCATAAGTATATTCCACACATATACATATACATATACGTATACATATACACATATATATATATACACCTAAATACATATCTATATATATATATACGTATGCGTACGTCTCTCTCTCTCTCTCTCTCGCTATATATATATATATACACACATGTATATATATATATATAATATGTATATGTATATATATAAGTTTATAACATATATATATATATATAATACTAGATATGTATATATAGAGGCTATATCATGTTTATTGAATGTGCTCCTCTTTCTTTCTTAGCTGCCTGCAGGAGGAGGTGATCCAGAAGCTTCAAGAAAAGCTCCGCGAGGCCTCCGAGGCCGAGCTCTCCGTCGCTTTGGAAGAGCTGTGGGGCGAGAAAAAGCGCCCCGAAAAGGAGTCGCTAGCCTCGGGACAGGACCCTACGCCGGAAGAGAGCAGGTGTCTCCAAGCCCCACACGCCTCTCCCAGGGCAATGAGCTGCGGTGGCAACAGCCCTAAACATCGACGCAGACGTCTCGGATAGAAGAGCCTGAACAAGAGCAGCAAAACCTTGGAGACTAGAGCGAGTGGTTTCAACGCGATGTCATAGTCTGTTTCAGAATGAGCGTCTCGCAGCAATGCGCACGTCTCCGAGTCGTCGTGTAGCTGCCAGGGGCCAGGAACGGAGTCTCCGGAGACGCAGCGATTGCTTCAGGACGGCCAAGCTGGAGAGTCGCTGAAAGGAAGTGCTTGCATTGGTATGCACAGGCATGCGAGGTGGCAGGGGCTTTAGGCTCACGGTCGACCCCAGCTAGGCAGTTCAACTTCACTTCATTGAAGCATCAATTGTCGAGCCCTGCCCTGCTGTGCACCCTCTTGGCGAACTGCTCCGACCCGGCTTTGCGAACAGTTTGCAAACTGATGGGCCAACGAATCTGTCTTCAGGAGTTGGCCGAGCTGCGCCGTGCAAGAGGCCATGGTCTGATCAAGCCACGCGCACATCCGTTTTATGCATTCTAACGGCAATCATGCAAGGGTGCATGGAGGTGCTACCCCAATTTGTTGGCAGTGGGCAGGGGCGGACCGTCTGGAGTCTAGAGAGGCAAACATCAACGGATAAAACATGCTCGACATGGCGCAGTCCGTCGACCTTGCAAGTCTGTTTTTGGGGTTTTGATAGCAGCTTGAGCTGCAAGCGCCTTGCATACAAGAGGATCTGTAGCAATCAGCAACAAGCATTCGCCCCCTGCATGAGACTGAATAAGATTCAACCTTGAACCGGTTTGGGCATGTTTTGCCCCAGGCGTGAACAAGCTCAACACCTTAACCAGCAGGATGAAGCGAGCGACGAAATCCGTAAGCAGACTGCAAGTCAGATGAGACGAAACTCCGAGCCAAGAAGAGACCATGAGACTGCCCTTTTGGGCAACGAAGCCAGCAAAGCTCCGAAGGCGAAGATGGACAGGCCCTGGATGAAGCGCAGCGCGCACTCCAGGAGGTCCGCTCAACGTTCCTTCCACTCCCCCACCCCCTGCCGAAGCTTTCAAGAAGCCCCAACAAGGCAACAGCAAGTATATTCAGGCTGAAGGCTTTGAGCCGCGTCCGACGGATAAAATTAGGTGACCTGCCCCAGGCAGTCCCCAGGCGCTATCAAGCGTAAAAGCAGGAAACCCAATCCTTTCAGCCTTTCGTGCCTTGTTCGAAACATACGATGAACTCCAGCCAGTAGAATCGCTTGATGTCGCCTCTAGATGGGGTTTGTACTGCGCCCGGGAAGCCTTGTTTGATCCATGATTCCAGAAACCAGTGGCTCGATGCTGAGCCAGGCCGAGATGACAGAGAAGCGCTACTTGGAGGCCTCTCGCTAGGCTTTCAGGAACTGCTGCAACTAGAATACTCCACGAGGCACGTTCCCGAAGTCCTGTTGTCTTCGCTAGAGTCTGTGGTTCAGCAGCATGTGAACTCGAAGCCATACTTCGCCCGCAGCCCTTCCCCAGCCAAGCTTTATGGCGGACTGACGTTATAGGATTGTGATCGAGTGCATCAGGTAGTTTGGTGCCGTAAGATAAATGGCAAGACCTGTCATGATGTCGTTCCTGTGCAGCAAGACTGAAGTTGAAGCAAAATGTTAGAGCTGGTACGGAAAATCCAGCTTTACTCTGAGTCCAGTTAGTAGAGTGTAGGCAAACAGACTCGATGGCATCAACCGTACGAGTGTCTGGAGTTGTGTGACAGCAGCAGCACTTGTGCCATCGAAGTGTTTTTCTCACCAACTCTTGCGAGCATCCCCCGAGCGGCCGAGTGATGACACAGATTTAGGAAGGAGTTCTGCAGTTCTCAGCAGGCTCGCCAGCACCCTTCCGGCTTCAGTAGCCAAATCCTCGTCGCCAAAATCCCGCGAGCAAAACTTGAGACTCCTCTGTCTCAGTTTAATTTTCCTGGCAGGTTGTCCGCGAAAATCGCAAACTTCGACAGGACCTGTCGGCACTGGAGGATGATGGTTTCTGGAAGGACCAGAAGTGGGGTGCTGCGCCGGTTGTAGCAAGCGGTGACAACATGTGGTACCTCTGCTGCATCATGGCCGGCCGCTCGTGTTCGATTCGTGGAGGAGATAGAGTCTCTCCAAACTCGCAACCAGGAGGCCCACTGTGAATACTTGCGACCTGAAGTTGCCAAATAAGCCAAATAAAGCACACAGCGGTTGCTGCTCGTCAAGTCGACTTGGAGAGCAGTTAAGCGAGAAGCAGCTCAGTCCGGTGCTTGGGAATGCTTCGTCCGCTCATGCCTCCTGTAAGACTTCAGGCGGTCGGCCTTGCCAAAGAGAGCCAGGAGGCTGGCGAGACTCTGAGCGACAAGGAGAGGATTGCGGCTCTTGCCCAGGCCCTGCTGCGTTGCGGCACGGCCGCTGGAGTGGACGTCGCGTCACTGATGGCCCTCGGCACAGTGTGAGGACCGTCATCTGGATGTGTAAGCTACCGCGTGTTCCGAGGCTCGACTTGAGACGTTTGCTGCTGCCGGCTAGCTGACAACCATTCAGCACAATTTCAGTGCATAATTGCTTCAAGCAGTCATGCAGTGTTTGCAGCTGCCGCTGTAAAGCAGCGAAGCTGTAAGCTGGGGATGCATCCTGTGAATGTCATGCAATGGGACCGAAACCGCAGCTCCTCGCTTAAGACAACCATCCAGGAGAGGCCATCCCGGCACATGCCTGGAAGGCCGAAAAATTCAGCTGCAATAATTCACCATTTATGTTCATTCAGGCCGGGTTGACATAGGTCGGAAGTCTGAAGCCGTCCAACAAAGATTTGCTGGTCATGGCCGGCAGCGATACCTCCACTCGCTCGTCCTTCGTTTTGTAGCCACACTGGAGTCTTGACGTGGCCAGCTTCGACTTCCAGTAGCAAGAATACCGGATGCGCAACTGGGGCTGCGGAACAAGGCAGGGAGCTCGTTGTCGTTCCGAACCCAAGCCTGGCATCTGCCGAGATCTGTGTGTACTGGCGCGTCATCTAACTTGCTGACTGCCTGCAAGGACACTGTTCTGCAAAGCGGTTATGAAGGTTTGGAGCATACTGACTGTCTCTAAGGCTCTGGATCGTCCTGAGCTTTGTCTTCTGGCGACGAATAGCCCCTGCCCCATCCAGGGCATTGCCTTTCAGCCGAAGTACGTCTTAGAACACAGCAGCCCGGAAGAGCACATCTTACGTCATGTTAATGGTGTGAAAAGCAATCAAGAAATGCGCCATTAACAGCATCAGTTGAATTAAGTTCGATAATCAGATAATCACAAAAAACACAGGGATGAACAGTGGGTCATGCGAATATTTTACGTAGAGCCAGCGCCACTTCCAATGATGGCGCTGGCTCCACAAGGATAACAGAAGTGTCGCGCAGGCTCGGACCTATGCGGAGCGGGCCAGGATCCCAACGGACCCCAGAAGAAGAGGAGAAAGGAACGAGCGAAAATGGATGCATCGGTTAAGATCAGTGTCAGTGTAGGTTTGTGTCAGGACCTGCCGGCTTCTCGGCTTCAGACGCAAGGCCCCTTGGAGGGAAGCCGGCTGCCTCCCACGATAATCAATCATGGATGCGCCGCTAGGTGTGCAAGGGTGTGCAGTTGCACCCCCTCTGCACCGGCGGGGGACACGGAGCGCCTCACCTGTGTGTCAACTACACGTCACTGCACCCCCTTGTGCTGGTCGTTATATTACGACTTCTTCGTCTACTCCCATACTCTCCGAATTTATTTCAAGCAAAGCCTTTTCAAGCTCTTCGTCTCGATAATTGAATCTATGGATTTCTTGATTTCTTTCATCTAAAATCATAATTTGGTCTAGGCTATTAACCGCTCTGACCGTATTTTTCGTCGTTATTGATAATTGAGAAAGCTGCTTTACACGTGATATATTTATAGAATCTAATATATTTTGCAGAAAAGAGCTACGGTTATTAAAGCTTTATGGTTCGAAGAGATATAAATTCGTCCCAATAATTATAATAAGATTATAGAATCGTTTGTTCCCCATACGAAATAATTATATTGCTCGATTTTCTTTCCACTATAATATTGATCTTTATTAATACGAAATCTTCCGTCGAATTCAAACCCTTTAGTAAAGAATTCTACACTCTTAATTATACGTTGTACTATAGTAGACGGTCGTAGACGTCGTGGAATTTCGATCCTTGGCGTAGTTTTAGTTATTTTGTTGGAATAGATAATTCTGGCGATTATTTAGATATGACGAAGACACGTAGAAGATTCTCGAATCGATTCTTGAGGTTGATGAAATGATATATACGATTCTTATGAGGCTTGTTGCGAAACTTGTTTATTATTATTAAGGATGTTCTAAAGCTTGTTGATATAATTGCGGTATTTGTTATTTTAATTTATATTGATATTTATTATTAGATTTGATTTTCTGTATTTTCCGAAATACGAATTTCACTACTTCTATCTCTGTTAGTTTTTCTCTGAAAGATTAATATTATCGTCGCTCTTATTCGATTGATTCGTGGGTTCGATTTGATTTCTCTTGTTCTTTTTGTATAGGTGTTAGTAAGATGAGCGTACATAAATATATTCTTTTATCTCATTATATTTCTTAGATTTTGATTTTTCTAATAATATATATAATTTATAAATATATTATTAGCATATAGATATAATTGTGGCGTTTGAAAGAAATTTATAAAAATCTTATCTTTAGAAATTTTGAGATGAGAAAAAGAAGCATCATTGTTTTAAATCGAAAAAGTCTATTTAATAATAATATTTTTAGTCTTGTTAATTTTTGTTTTAGGAATGTTTATTTAAATTATTTTTTTTTTCAAGATGAAAGAGGTTGGGTTGCTAAGGCGTGATTAAGAATGATGGGCCTGGTTGGCAATTCCCGAATTCTTAAAGTTGTTGAATAGTTCCAGAGGCTAAGATATAGAACACAATATATTTATATAAAAGATGTTCGATTATATCAACTAATTGTTGTATTTCTTATTGTTTGGTTGATAAGAAATTATCGAAGAAATCATGAGAATTAAATATTAAGATCTATAGAATAATTAAATCATATTTAATGATAATGATCATTCCGCGAGCTTGGAAGCTTGAGATATCTTATCGAAATTTTTCTCCAGCGAGCAAATAAGGAATTTAATTCGACAAATCGATTTCAAGATCATATCTATTCGTAAGCTCCATCTTTTTATTGAAACCAAGCCGCTCATCTTCTCGAATAAGCATCATTAATGAATTCGACGTCAAAAAATTGAAGGATCCGACTAGGCCGCTGCCTCGCAAATTCAGATATGTTACGTCATGAAAGATAAAATAATGATCTGTTAATAAGACGCCCTTCTTGATCTCTGAGATATTGATCGAAAGTATCTCCATAAATCAAATAATTATTGGAATCGAAAATATCATAGGCAAATCGTACGGAAACGGAAATATACGTCCGATATTCATATAAGAATTCTCGTAGCCTAATTTCATTAAAAATATTGTATGGAGAGCGATCGTCTTTCATATAACTATTTGTGAATTACTTTTATTCATGGTAATTATTCATATTAGGAATATTTGATCTGAATATAATTCTTGATATTGAAATATTATAGGATTTCTCTTAAATCATTATAATATTATCTTTATATATGATTCTCAATCGATTTATAGATATGTTTGAAATCAAATTATTCGATTGAATTTTTTGGAAATATTTGATACTTCAATATGATATTTCAATATGAATATAAAAAGGATAAATTATTTCTTATACGAGTC